TTACAGTTCAAAGCCAAGACTAATTGCATTAATTTCATTACATATTTTAACCAGCCGTCTGAACTAGCATTAATGTGGTGATAAATATCATGATTAACAGTATTCGTGAAGAATATTTCATGTAGGATCAATCCAATGGGGAACTAAGGCTGAGGCAGTTCTAGGCGAATTCTGCGATTCAGCAATCGCAAAACGATTTGCAGAAAATGTTACCAACTGATAAACTGATATGATGTCTGATTGAATGGTCGTATTCGAGTTTTAACAATGCAGTGCCGGCTTATAACCTCATAACTGCTTATTTAACAGAATAAATTTATCGTAATTCGGCATTAATTTCGCTCGATGAACAAATACCCTGTCTGAGCACAAGTACGTAATAGACGAAACAGATGTGCACATGCAACGGACAGTCTGCTTCTAACATTACATTTAGAGGTCACCGTGTGTATCTGCTAAATATGTCATCACAGTCAAGGCTGACTTGCCAGTACACATATATACTGTCGGACAATTCCACGGGCACTTTATCGGTTGTTCCAATGGATATCTACGGCTCGTTTATTCGTCTTATTTAGCCCAGTAGAAACCACGCTAAAGCTGTCATACGTCGCCAGCCTTACTGTCTTTCTCGCTGCATGGCCAGCGATTATACTGGCTGAAAACGAAGATGTATCAAAGACAATGCGATGTAGTTTATCGTACAAGTAACATACAGGACATTCGTTTATTCAGTATCTTCTTGGTTTTGATGTGATATGATTGAATGAAACCATGCATAGTGATAATGCACTGCTCGACAGCCTGATTCCTGACTTAACATGTTTCGCCTCTCTGGCAAGATTTCTACAGAGAAGGGGGCGTTGTCCCGGGGAAAGCTGCCGTATACATTCGTCGCTGCTTCTCACACAGGTTTATGAGAATACATGAGGATTGGAAAAATTGTGTATTTTTTCATGTCTCGCCGTTTGCTTCCAACACGACTCCGTTCATGATGGCAATTGTTTTGTTTACGATCCACCCGAGAAATCCCCGCTGTACGGCTTTCGTGATAATAACGGTATACATGTAGGTATGTGGCTCTCGCATAGCAGTTATTGAATCTGTAAATGTGTCTGAAATAGAACTTATGCAATTTGGTGACACGGTGAGTGAGTGAGTTAATATTAAACGTCACATCGGCAATATTTCAGCCATATAGTGATCTGGGAAAGTTTATGGGACTTATGGGTATTTGAATAGAAATTACGTGCATTTCTATTTTCAATCGCTAATAACATGCCTATTTGGCCTGCTCGTTCCCGACATTTTATTGGTTGTTCAATTTTAGTTTCATTTAAAACTTGAAATGCCTGACGTTTGTAAGGTTTACTGTAATAATGAGAGGCAGACAGCTCCTACTTGCCGATTTATCACAAGCGGAATGCAACTCGACCTCCATGTAGTTCCGGCCTGAATAGGCCACTGCGCTCATTTTCTGTGAAAAGATATTGTTGATCAAATTCGGTATGTAAGAGAGGTAATCGCATAATGGTAAAAAAACAAGGTGTAACATGCAAAACAGGAAATGAGTGAGTGAGTGAGTTGGGTTTAACGCCGCTTTTAACATTATTCCAGTTATATCACGGCGTGTCAGCTTAATGTGGGAGGAAAGCCCAAAGTGACGCAGGTCTCAGACGTTTACCACTTCGGTGACACCCACGAGCACGGGTATGGTGCTGACAAACCTAGAAACGTAATCGGGGCGAACCGGGATTCGAACCCACAATCATAGGTTCCTGGCGTGCCAAAGGGACGCAACTCTGCACAGCGAATCGCGGCGCCTTAGACGACTGGGCCACTCGTGCCCCCCTGGTGACACGGATTGGGTGTAAGGAAGTCTTTATTGTCTGGTAGTGACCTACTTCAACTTGGTGACATCTATAAAAAAGACGCGAAGCAAGTGCAACACAGGACAGTGAAGCAAACAAGTTCGCAATGTACCTACAAGAATTATGTATCTTTTCGTAAGTGCATATTAAAGGCCGTAATCCAGGGTCTTTCATACTAATAAACTGTACAAGCTTGGTTGATTATGTCATTGGATCTTCTGAGTCTGTTGCTGTGATGGATTTAATAGTTGAATCCCAAGAAAATCTGATCAACTTCAGACACATGTACATTTCAGAGTGTAATTTAAAGAGCTATTTGGAATCATGTAAAAAGGGATTTCGTAAAGTTTGTGTTATTAAACAGCAGCAATATAAGGAGAATATTATTGAAGATCTTAAAGCGTGTATTTCTGATACGGATAGTAAAATAGTTTGTCGTAAAATTAAATCTGTATTACGTTGTAGTGGTAACCAGTTGTCTATATCGTTTGATGTTTGGTATGGTTAATTTAAAACGCTCTTAAATCCTGAAAGGGTTTTTCAGCAATCTTCTTTTGATGTCAATCAGAAATCATGATCTAGGACTTGATGAATGTGTTGATTGTAATAATTCAAGATTATTATCAGACCCTATTACCCAACCTAAAATTTTGAAAGCTGCCAATGCCGTGATAGGTACGAAATCCACAGGTTAAGATGGTATCCCTCCAAAAAGTATTAACAAATCTACTGTGATATCACTATATATTGAAATGTTATTTAATGCTGTCCTTGACACTGGAGTTTTTTCCTGACAGCTGGAATATATGAATAATTCTACCATTGTATTAACATTGAAATAGACAAGACCCGAATAATTACCGTGGTATCTCTCTGTTTAATACTTTGCGGAAGTTTTAAACATCTATTTTGGAGGGTAGAATAAGAACTTGGGTGGAAGGAAATATGCTCATCCATGAATAGCAGGCTAGAGTCTGGAATAAATATTCTACAATAGATTACATTTTACCTTACAGTCCCTTTGCCCAAAGTATTTAAAGTAACAGAAACAACGTTTCTTTGTTGCATTTAATGATTTTCGTAAGGCTTTTGATTTAGTATGAAGACAAAAATTATTATGTGTTTTGCATAAGAAAGGTATTTGTGGGAAGATATTTAATTTTCTTGAGAATATGTATTCTAAGATTTAGGGCTTGTGTAAAAAGGTGGGATGGTAGAACTGAGATATTTGACACATCATCAGGAATCCGTCAAGGATGCATGTTGAGTCCAGGTTTGTTTTTTCATAAACGAATTATCCATATAGTTTCGGAGTTTAAGCGAAGTGGATTAAGAGGCATATTGGTGCTTGAGGAACAGGAGGAAACTTTGATACTTTATTTACCGCGGTCGAGGCTCTGGTATATGATTCAGTAATTGGTGTACAAAGGAAATTTGATTTTCTGAATGTCTTCTGTCTGAAATGGGGACTTGAGGTGAATATGAATAAATCTAACATAATTGTTTTTTTTAAACAGTGGCTACTTACACAGGTTAGAAAAGTTGTTTTATTGAGGAGTTATATTATTATTATTAATATCTAGATAATATTTTCACATCCAGATTAGTGTGTTCAAGAGCTTGTGAAACCCTATCCATTCAAGCCGGAAAGGCAAGCATTCCTATTCATAGATATTTTAGCAGTTATCAAAATTTACCTTTCCATGCTGTTCAAACAATATTTGATACAAAGATATTACAGAAATCTTGGTATTCACTTTTAGGGAGAGGGAGGCTTTAGAAAGGTGCAGAGTGATTTCCTTAAGAGGTGTATAGGTTTTCTTATGAGTTCCCCATTATAAGTCAAACAGCACCACAGTGACTTTATTGTTGTACCTACCATAGTAGTGATAAATCTGTGCAGCTTATGTGATTAACAAAAATTGACTTATTTAAACACTGTGTCCTTAAATCTGACAAGGAAAATACCAATATGATTATCGGGAAGTGTCTTTACATGACATGTGTCAATAAACTTGTGTTTTGGTGCAGCATTAGGTATATCAGCCCACTGTAAATGCTTTGTACTTTGGGCCATGATGCCTGCAATACAAAAATACATTTGTCAGTTGTCACATCCAGACTTATACTCTGTGTTTAAAGTTTATTAAAAATATTGCACATGAACACGAAACGTTTACTGGACGCAGAGCTCTGCTCCAGTAGGCATTCACGGCGACCGTCAGTACAGCTTTACATGCCCCACATCGGATGTCGTTACAATTGGCACACGTTCATTCAGCGAAATAGATAACCAGCTGCATACACGCATATTTAAAATATAAAGATATTTTTTCTGCTGAAGTGCTTCAGCGTTTGGTGATAAAATTAATAATTACAATTACTTTAGATTGTTTAAATTTGTTTTGTTTCATTTCCAGCGTTAACAAAATCGATGTTCTTGTGATCGAAATATGAACGTATGTAACGAAAGTAGTCCTGTAAAGGTCAGGATTCACAATCAGCCAATTAAGTATCTAGAATAACTGAAAAGTGATGTGTACACACTGTGCAAGTTTAGGAAATGTGTGCACCGATATCTTTTACCTCTGGATTGAACATATAGAGAATCTCACCCTAGTGTCTTTTGATATGAAATATATCAACACGAGTTGCTAAAAGTGGAAACATTCCGAGGCTTACCGAGGATTTTTGCCACTTTTATCAGCGAGTGTTGATATATTTGATATCAAAAGACACGAGGGTGAGATTTTATTTATCATCCAACAACATTCTTTCAACTTTTTCAATTTGTAGACAGTAATTAGCTGTGTCCTTAGTGTAATAAGTATTGCTAACAGCTTCAGTAGCAGAGCCATGAGTGATGTCATTTGATTGTGGCGTCATGGTACCCAGTGACATCACAATGGTCTGCAAAGCATTGTAGCGATACGCTTGATCTAATCCAAGCGATATCTCCTATGGGAGCCAGTTTTGGATGATAAATTTTCATGACAGTATGTACAATCAAATGAATGTAGTTAAAACAAATATTTCTGCATCTGTCACATATGCATTCTGTTACTGATGTACAAAATATGACTAGTTTAGCAACAATGCGGCGCCATCTTATTATGTTCTGTCTTTTAGGTACCCACTTGAACCACGATGGGATGCTACTTGGCCATGTTGTGTACAGTGCTTTCTGTTGCGGTTGTAATAGGTATATAAAAGTGCATAAGTAACTTTAACATGGATTTTACAGGATAATATATCCAACTGTTTAGCTCGATCAAAGTTCATAACAAACAGCTTTAACAACAGGTATTCCACTCCCTGTTGGTTGACCGTTCAGTATTACAGTATAAAGAATGAACATGTTTTATACTGATTTGATATAAACACATTTGGAGTTGAAATGATTCGTCATAAAAAAGGTTCATAATATGTTCATAAGTAACTCTCAAATGGTTACAACATATAAAATTAAACCATTCTCCTCGTACCCGTCATGAAAGGCAAAGTGAAGGTATTCTCTTCTGTCCACAATCGAACAGATGCTGGTTGTCACTGTAACACTACTACTGCCTGCGTCGTGTTCCCCTCCACTCCCTGTAGCCAGACCGGCAATCCAGACAGGTGCCAGGAAGGGTGGTTTGGTCCGTACTGTCAGAAACGTGAGTGTGTTATTTTCAATAAGTAGGTTTTCAGTTTTACAAACCTTTACACATACTATGTTGGTTTGATTTGTAAAGGAAACTCGACCTCTGGTCGATGTAGGATACCACAGTTTTGTATAAAACATCGAAATGCTTCTTCCATGACAAACGATGTAAATAACCCTTTAGAGCAGGCCATATATATTCGTATTTTTGTGGAAATGTGTCTGTATACAGGAAAGCAATATACATTCGGATTAATAATTAATTTCGAAATGAAATATTTTTTATATTTCCATAACCTCGAGCTTTGTTTGACCTCATTTATCCCATCAATGATACTTCCCTGATTGTTGATTTTACAGAAAATGTTGCCTTGAGAAGGTCTTCCACACAGAGTTCAACATATATGGAACGTTCAAAGAGGACAAATAACCTGAGCCATAGTTTCACAGCAGACTATGGAGTAGATGGCAGAACTGCCAATTCGCTCTATGATAAACCACTGTCCTGTACACATACAGCCGCTGGAGATCAACACCATACTTGGACTGTGTACCTGCACACCTCCAGCACAGACCGGATACAACACATCAGACTCTATCTACGCAGGAATCGTGAGTACAATGTGCACATATACAGTTTGTGTACAAGGCAAGTGTACAGTATGTCATAAAATTTAAAGTAATATGCATTTACAATTCTAAATGCGGTACAAATGTTTGTAAGACACATATTTCTCCAACTGATCAAAGAACGGAGCATTCATGAATGTTAAGATACATTCTTCATTTAAAGTATGAACCGGTTTTAGTTGTGAAAAAGGGAAATCGGTTTGTAATCAGTTTTTATAACCGACTGGGTTATGCTTTGTCATTATTGCACAAGGATGAATTATAGTGCGTATGTTTGTTTCAGACACTTATTATAGGAATAATCAAACCATGACGTCATGATTAAGTAACCTAAGTGAACTGGGGAAGGTGAACAAAGTTATAAGCACTTCCTTTATATGTCCCCCAACCATTATAGGAAAATAAAATTCATTCTTAATTTGATTTGAAGTCAACCAACAAACAGTTTTGGGAAGAAACAACAACACCGATATAATACTTGCCCCTTGTTCCGCGCTGTGATTAACTGGATATGCGAATGTAGCTAACAACGTCGGTCGCCAAATCAATCACCATAAACACACATAACTCTACAGTTAAAACTTTACACATTTCACATTCATTCTGTACAGATAGCCGCAGAAATAACGGAATGGAGGTGCTTGTGGGTAGCCAGATGTGCTACAACTGGTCATCAACTGAACATCCTCCTCCTATAGCTAACGTCACCTGCCGTCAGCCGCTGGCAGGAAACAACGTCACTATACGGGTGCCAGCTGCGTCCGATATATACCTTACTTTGTGTGAGGTGCAAATATTCGGTAAGTACTCCATATTTGAACTGATGATTACTAGTATTCATATAATTGCGTAACTTGCGGTATACCATCGGTTTTGACGTTAGTTTAGGATATTATATACGCGTAGAGATTTGCGTTGTTTTTTTCACGTTGATAGTTATTCCTAAACAGCAAAAGCATGTCTGTATTTGATGATGATAGATATCCAGCAGATTAAGTCAGTGACATCTCACAGGTGTTTGTACCAGGTGTGAGAATATATATACCAAATAAAAAATTCACAATCCTAAAATCTTAACATTTTGACCAGTTATCATTGTGGGCCCTTATTGTGTATTTAAACAGTAATGGCCTGTTGTAACCGTGGCCTAACAGATACCAATGATGTAACCTACATTGGGTTAGCAAGCGGTCCCTTCAAGACAAGGTATAACAACCACACAAAATCATTCAGAATTGAGAAATATGAAAAAGAGACAGAACTCTCCAAACACATTTGGAAGTTAAAAAGAAACAAAACCAATTACAAAATCAAATGGGACATAATCAAGAAATCAAACACCAACAAAAGAGACTCAGGGATTTGCAATCTATGCGTGGAAGAGAAGCTCGAGATTCTCATGAAAGCTCTTCAGTGTAGCTGACAATGACATATAATGATGTCATACTTATGCGGAGTATATCGAAATTACCAGCTGTCCTGATTTGACATTTAGGCCGATTGTCGGAGGACCGAACAGCCCGACTCAGCGCCTAAGCAATCTCGTCGATATCATTTTAAAACCATTAACAAAGCATGTACCGAGTTTTGTAAGAGACGATGTAGACTTTCTTTCCCACCTGCCCGATGCCGTACCTATTGATGCGACTCTAGCCACCTTTGATGTGAACAGTTTATTTACCAACATACCCCATGATCAGGGATTGGAAGCAGTTCAATTTTGGCTGAGAAAACATCCTGAGGCTATCGACACTGAATTTTCTAAAGTTTCATCGTGGAATCTTTAAGATTAGTCTTAGAAAATAATACCTTCTGTTTCAACGGAAAATTATATCATAAAAGAAAGGGAACGGCCATGGGCACGAAAGTCGCTCCAACATACGCTACACTTGTGATGGGTTATATAGAGGATATTCTTTACAGGAAGGTACACGATTCCATGTCAGAATCCATTGCCAAACATGTGCGCAAAACTTGGAAGCGATTCTTGGACGACTGCTTTTTAGTTTGGCTCTCAACTCGTGAAAATTTAGACATTTTTCTGGATATTATTAATAAGCTCCACCCTCCATCAGTTTTACTATGGAGTCTAGCGAGAGCGAAATTCCATTTCTGGACGTCCTTGTAGTTAAGGAAGATACTAAATTGAAAACAGATATCTACTACAAACCAACGGACACCCATCAATACTTACAATTCGGTTCATGTCACCCCAGGCATACACGAACTAACATTCCTTATTCACTTGCGCGGAGAGTATGTACCATCGTGTCGGAAACGGATAAAAGAGATTTTAGATTGAAAGAATTGATGGGGTATCTCAGGAAGCTAGGATATCCGCTTCGCGTCATAAATGACGCAATAGAAAAGTCGTTAAAAATTCCAAGACATACTCTCCTGAAACCTAATGAAAAATCTGTGGGCGATCAAATTATACCGTTTGTGTCCACCTTCAATCCTAATAACTGTGATATCATGCCAGTCATAAGGGACAACCTCCCAATTCTACAGATAAAGCGATAAAATGAAACAAGGACTGAATACATTTAAAATTATAAAAAGTACCAGGCAACCAAAAAATCTCAAGCAAATTCTTTGTCCATCCAAATATTCTTGTACAGAGAGTGTACCATGTGTAAGTAGATGTAACACACCAAGATGCGGCACGTGTAGCATCATAAGTGAAGGTACTACTTTCCTTTTTGCAAATGGTAAGGGTTTCAATGTGAAAGCCGACATGAACTGCCGCAGCAAAGATGTGGTGTATGTTATGAGATGTTCGGGATGCGGCGAAAACTACATCGGTGAAACCGGCATGGAATTAAAAGATAGAGTCACTGTACACAAACAGCAGATTAGAGACCCTAATGTTCGATGCTTAGGTGTCAGCAAACACATTGATGATTGCGGAAACGGGAAATTTACTATTTTTCCGTTTTATAAATTGTATACAAGTAACAAGCAGCTGAGACTGGAAAAAGACAAATGTTTATCCAGTTGATGAAACCCAAATTGAACTCTAGAATGTATTAATAGATTTGTCATTTCAATCGTTAATGTTGCACTGTTACTTACTGTTACAAATACTGTATATTTAATTCAAATGTCTCCCTACAATTGTTAAATTACTTGGTGTCGTCGCTGGAGTGTGTAAATACATTATGACATCACAGTTGTAATTTATGACGTCATCATAAGTATGACATCATTATATGTCATTGTCAGTTACACTGAAGAGCTGTCATGAGACAGCGAAAGTACTATGTATGAAACTAATATAAAGAAGATGATGGACTAACGTGGACTTTATTATTTTATTATATATTACATGTACACCGAGTGAACATTTACCTCATTTTTGTATATATATATATGTAACAGTATATTTATATTCGTTTCACTTTGTGATGCGTTTATATCGATTTTGAAATTGGTTTCTGTAACCTTTCATCGATTTAGTTTGCAGTGACGGCTGGTTTGGTACCGATTGTGATAAGCAGTGTCAGTGTCTTAAGAAAACAAAAGTCTGTGACAAGATCACAGGACAGTGTCTTGGTGGCTGTGCTCCCGGGAAAACTGGCATTGATTGTCAGACACGTGAGGAATGAGTTTTCAGTGTATATGTGAAAAATGACAAATTTTATGTCTAAGTTTCAACATGTTAAATGCAGATACTTTGTTCAATGATTTGAATTATCATTGGGTGAAAAGGGAGTTCATATGAAATTGACATGCAGCGAAATTTTGTTGGAAAACATGTTGGGAATGTTTGAAAAACGTCATTTCTTGATCCATAGGGCATTTGTCATGGAACGTGGTGATCAAAGATGTAGTTACATATCTATCTTCAGAAGTTCAGCGTAATGTGTCAAAAATGAAAACAAAAGTAAAAAAAGTATTATTGAGGAAACAATACGTAAAATGCTGGACCTCCTCATTGATAACATCTTTGCAAAATCGGGGAGAAAAACATTCTCGCAAGAAGTCCCAATTTTGATCAATACATAAAGAATGAGAGCGACAAAACAATCGCCGAAAGACTCTATGGCAAGAGGTGTGACAAGGTGAACATGTTAAAATCGCTATACAATGTTATAAATGGACAGTGTGTATGATTCGATATTTAAGATACATGTGTCAGATTGTTAGAGTACACTTCTTGCGTTAGAATATATCCTGGCCCACCTTTCCAACGCATTACTTATGTGCCTAAGCATTCCCATGCTCTTGATTTACAAAATGTCGATGATGCAATATTTAATATTATTATGATGATATATATGACTACCTAATACACGCTACTTCTTGAATTTGAATTCGAGAGTATTATCCGAAGTAATGAAGTAAAGTACGACAGAGCTACCATGACACAGAAGAATGCTTCTTTCTGACTGGTCAAAATGAAATGACACCCCAAAATAAACAAGATTCTTCAAACAAGCCCGTTACTTGTGATTACATCGACAATCGATAGCTTATATATCGTTTTACTCCCGCTATACCCGCACGTAATTGTAGATGTACCATGCAACTGTTGTTACAAGCATGAAGATCGTGTCAATGATGCATATTTCAAATAGAAAATAACAAGGACAGACATATTCTTTTTCATTTATTATTGACAGTTTCAGAAGTAAAAAAATTCCAGTTTCCATACTAGCACTCACGAAACATACATGTATATCAATGTTACATTATTTCCCGGCATTCCGGGAAGTCCCCATACATTGATGCATATAACAATGGCTGCCGACAACTTATTAGAACTATATATGTTCAATATCAGAAATTCATCGGATGGATTTTTCACTCGGTTGAACACTGAACAAGTACTTGTTTACAACGGCTAAACAAACATGATAATATCTATTTCAGAATACGCACTATTAAGTAAAACATACACTAACCAGTGTGTCACAAAAACATGCGATACAATTTCCAAGAAACGACACAGTTGACTCTAAGCAGTACAAGATATACAACATGTTGCGATGAAATAAAATATAATTTTTATCTATGGAGGGTTATTTTGTCAATTCTTTATAAAAAAAATGAAACGCGTTTGTTTTATTTTGAACGAGTCAAGAATATATATAATTAATCGTGAACGATGAGTTAATTGTTTCGTTTTCCACTACCCGTGACACCATGTCAGAATGTTAGAAAGATAGTTGACCTATGTACTCATGTGTATATACACCTTCCAAAAAAAAGTACCATTTTAAAGCGTTCTTGTCAGGGTAGAATAGACAGAAACCTACTATGTCTCATTAATTTGAGGTTGCGGAACTAGAGATGGAATACTTCTTATATTAATTTAGAGCTGAGTGCTTTAGCGTTTATCCCCTTAGTAATTATCTGATTTACATAAACACTGTTGTTTTGTGAAACAAAGTTAAAACTTTAACTGATCGCATAAAGTGGTGGACATGTATTTTGTCCACGTCAGGAGTAATGGACAATGTGCTAAAATGTGCCTGATATGATTGGATGATGCTCACAAACTGAAGATACTTTTTACCGGCATCTCTCATGCATTACCTAACCTTGCACCCGACAAGAGTTTGTACTCATTGCTAGGTGTTCATGTTACTGTCTACAGCATGCCCAGACGGACGTTATGGTGCCAATTGTGCGTCTCAGTGTGGCCATTGTCTGGACACTGCTGTCTGTGACAAGGTAACAGGGAAATGTCCTCGAGGATGCCTGTCTGGATGGTTACCAGATCTCTGTTCACAGGGTAAGTACTTTTTTCCAACCATTTCAACTACCTTCTGGTAAGTGAGTGAGCGAATATGGCCTCAGGCCGAACCTCTTCGTAATACAATTAGGAGCTTGTCAAGACGGCTCCTATGGTATCAACTGTTTCTCCCAGTGCGGAAGCTGCCTAAATAGAGATGTATGTGTCAAGACCACAGGGAAATGTCCAAGAGGATGTGCACCAGGGTGGACAACTGATACGTGCTTGAGTTGTGAGTATGTTTGTTTGTTTGTTTCTTTGTTGTTTAATGCCGCACTCAGCAATATTCCAGCTATATGACGGCGGTCTGTAAAATAATCATAGTTTATTTTCGATTTTCAAGGCCAAAGTAACCCTTTTTACTTTTAAAAGTTGCTTGGTTGAATTTGTCATGTCAGAAAACATATTATTAGACACTAAAATCATGACTATCGGACAATGTTAACTGTGTTTGTGAATTTCACCGACTGCCAAAAGTGCGTTGACCTTTCAACGTTTTTGGCCATAGCTACCCCATTTAAGGTCGGAAGTATGACTGGACGAGTAATTTGATATGCATATCGACACAATTTTGAACTTTGATCCCTGTGTGACCTTTGTTGACCCTTCCCCAAAATGCCCGGGATTTTCAACCGGGCAGCCCAAGTCAAAATTGTTCAGTATACATCAGGAAACTCAGAAACACTTTCAAACCTTTGTTTCCATGATTTGGTCACGGGACCTACAGGTTGGTCTTCTAGTAATTAGGCCGTGCTCCTTATCAGAAGAGTATTAAAGTAAATATTAATATGGACAGCTTGTGAAGATGGCTCCTGTGGTATCAACTGCTCCTCCCAATGCGGCAACTGCCTAAATGGAGACATATGTGCCAAGACCACAGGGTCATGTCCGAGAGGATGTGCACAAGGGTGGACTACTGATACGTGCTTGAGTTGTGAGTATATACAGGATTATTGTTCATTATGCAATACATTCATGTACCTGTACATGTTGTATGAAAAAAGTATTATATAATATAGTTACGTTTGTATAACAGACACTGTCTCCACATATTTTGTCCCCATCAGATTATATTTGCATTATAAAATGGTGATACAAGATCGCTCAGGCGAAGGATAAACTCCGCTGACAAGAATTACGGCAGGTTTTTGCGCTTCCGTCGCGCTCGCTTTTCGTACATTGACGACAGTGTATCGTGGTTGTTATTGGCGGAAAGCCCGGTGTTTCAACTTTCATGGCACATATGACAGATGCGGGTGTCTTTACGTTTTCCTGCCCAGAGAGCCGTCCGAGGCACGTGGCGGAGATGGATTTGCTAACAAACAGATTTGAACATATCAAATGGAGGGACCATTATTTCTGTCAATCTTATTGATTCTGCTTATCGTGCAGTAGTGTTTTTCCTGCTTTCATTGTTGCAAGAGGATTTGAACAGACTCCCTTAAATCGCCATTTGTAAACTCATAACCAGTGTGAATATTTGTCCCATGGTCGACAGAAATGAATACACAATGCCTTTTAGAAAGTTTTCAAATGAACAAATGTTATATTTGCGATTGTACTCTAGTACTTTATTCAGTCCCGTCCCGGGTTCGAACCCACACTCTCAGAAGAATAAGGAATATGAACCACTTATTTGTTTTAAAAACAATGTTGTACAGTGTTTGCGGCAACACCAGGATGTTTAAGCCGGGAAGCGCCAGTTGTAGCAACACTCGGTACACTTCTCGTCTTGGCTGCCATCGCTCTGTTGGCGTCCATCTTTTACATCAGAAGGTAAGGATCTTGTAATGTGTAAAAGATAAAATATCATGAACATGAAAAGAGGATTCATAATATTGAGCAATATTAACCATTCTTTGCTAATTGTGCATTAGAGACTCCAACTGACGGATAACAACCACCATATCATATAATTACCATTATCATATTATTACCATTATCATATAATTACCATATCATATAATTACCATTATCATATTATTACCATTATCATATAATTACCATTATCATATTATTACCATCGGTGATTCGTCGTTCATTATCATTTGTCTATGTCCATTACAATGCAGTATTATGACATGAAGCATATTTCATATTTCACGCAGAACTTTCGTTGTTTGATCCACATCATCGAACCGTATAGGGGTATGTACATATATGTCAAGTATACCAGAAATGTATCAGTTGGTACAAACATACATGTATACGAATGTATATTGTACAGCTGGCGATAATTGTATCGATTTATTTAAACATATATTATTCAAGGGACTATTAGGATTGGATACAAATCACAGAGGCTTACTAGATCTCCTTACATTGATGGCAGTTGTATGCAAATTATACAAGGGCGTGATGAACGCATGATCAATTGCATTTCAGTGAAAACAATAGCGTGTGTGTACCGTCAACAAGTGGTGCCTATTTCATATTCGAAAAGGGATAAACATGTAACTAATCATCTTGAAATGATTAGCCTTACTAGCTTATTGCTATACATTTCAGACTGAAGCGTCAACTGGATGCCTTGCAAAAGAAGCCTGAAGATAACTACATATCTCTTGATGAGAACACCAGGGATCCAGTTGTGGAAAACATATACGAACACATTGACAATACCAGTCCTTATGTCAACGCAGTGGAAGTCCACCAGGGCCGAATATAATCTGATGAAATCGATAAAAGCGTCAAAACCATTTCCATAATAATGGAGTCCATTGTAAGATTCCGATGATATCATAAGCATGTGTCCATCATGTGTGAATCACTATCAGATAATGATGATACCAGGTGTTCGCAAATAGGTGAGCGTATCCTGCCCCATCGAAAAAAAACCGTTCACAAACACATGTCAAGTCAAGTCAATTGTTCACCTGAATGTGTCCCATTCAACATAGGGAATTGCACCGGACAGTCCTTTACGTTACCAATGAGTCAAACTTTGAAATACCGTCAACGTGTCAACCATAAAACCTTTTGAAAGCTTTGCTGAGACCTTGGCATTTTGTAACACTGATCAAACAACTTTTAAAGCTTTTTGAAATCTTCGTAGAAAGAGCATGCACGACTGTACCTAAAAACATGACCCATCAGTGACAAAAGTGATGTCCGATGCAATTCCCTACTTTCACTTGTACAATATATTCCTGTTGTTTGTTCATTCATTCATCTTAACTACACTTGGCTTAATGCCCAATGATATGCACATTGTCGTAAACATGTTTAAATTATAAACCTGTTTAGATTATATAGTGAAGTGTTTTGGTGGTGTTTAGGATGTGAGCCTGCAGCTCATTTCATGTGTTTAGACCATCAGTGTGTTCAGCTAGAACACACCAAATGTGTATTCCGTTTAGGAATTGAACACATTCCTATACATGTTTAGATCTAAACACATTTCACAGTGCAGGTGTTCAGACTGTATTCGACCCCTCCCTCACTTGGACATTACCTGTTTATTATGATTATGTGTCCCTTGTATGTGTCACCAAACAGTGCTGGAAGCTGTCACGGTCATTTCTCACTGAATACAGTAACGGAAATGTCAGGTGGAATTTCAGTCAAAATAATTGCGAAAGGGCAAAGCTCTGGAATGGCTAAAGTATAGAAAAGGGATATTACATTCGCAGTCAAATATACCCAAGAAATACGCAAACTAATATCAAACCGAAACTGAAAAATTATAACATGCTGGCTGTCGTATCTCTGTAGACGGTGATCGATTGGTATCTATTACTAGAGAACATAGGCGGTTATTGGTTTCTGATATTGACTTCAAGTGAGAAAACAATGTTTATTAATAATCTTAAGCTTCTCCCGCCCTCTTATTGTATGTGACCTGAGCACAGTGGCTCTGGATTCCCTTTCTCATTAGCAAACATCACTTATCTAAAACCTTATACAGTGATCTGCGTGATGTTATAATGTAGTCGACTATGTTCTGTTATTGTTAAAATATTACTTGTCACATTCCGAAATGAAAGTGTCTATTCTATGGATGTCTAGGCTGCCACCCAAACCGTTCCAAGCTGGGAAGCCAATGTTAATTGTATGTTATGAAGTGACATGGTAGTTTTCCAGAATTTTCCAGATTGTGTTCTTACCTTCACTTTTAAGTAAGGAAAAATTACTTAAAGGAGAACTGTTGAATTTAATTATTTACTTTTGTTATGTTTCCTTACATATTTGATACTGGATATACCAAACATTATTCTTTTTATGTCATCTTGGATATATTAACTCTTGTTACCGTTCTAAAGTCATTCTCTCATATTACGTGTATAGTGCCCTCTGTAAACACTGTAATCAGCAATATATGAGCAGTTCATAGTGTGCCTGTATCTCACATTATGAACAACGTTAAATCTAGGGAGAGTTCACCGAGGATTCGCATGTGTTCAACTGCGACTGTTTCTGTTTGTAGGTTATGAATAATATGTACCCGTAAGTGGCAATGCATTGCAACCAGGATCGACAGTTTTTGCGCTATGTGTTTCTGGCTGTGTTTAATGTTTAAGTTGATTTAATGGCATTACAGAGAATTCGAACTGCTAAGTATTTATAAAACAAAAATATGAAAAATATAAAACAACAACATTTCTCATGCAAAGTAGCGTAATATTTCCGTCTTTTCTTTTTTTCGAATGACATTATCATAATCATTGGTCATAATTATGATATATATCAACAATATCAGTACCCGAACTTTTAACCCAGAAAACAAATGTGTGTTTTCGCAAACGGGTCAAGTCGAGACTGATGCAAAAACAACTTTAATGCAACTGCATTTGTTGGAACGGTTCTCCAGAGCGTAGACAGGACAATAACGTTCACGGGTTCTGAAAGTACATGCTCAGAACCAGTCTGTCTCATAGTCCCTAAATCATATTATTTTCCCTTCCGCCCAGCAGTTACTGTAATTGTATAGTCCTCAATGTAGCAAGGCTAGGCTTTCCCAAGGTCTGAATCTCCCATCTCACTGGGGCTCCTTTTCAATTTAAATATATTTGTTTGTTTCTATCAAAAGTTTTTAAAAATATTTTCAGAGACTAACCATTAGTCTTCCAAGATACCTACAACTCACTTAAAGCTGTAGTTGTTATGTCACTGTTATAAAGCTGGCATGAATATCATAAATACTCAGCAAGTTTATGCTCATAATTCCCTCTTTTCCACCAGCGGTTGGTTCGACATGAAATAGTCTTCATGAATACTGTAAATCATAAAAAAATGCGTCATGAAATTGATGCGAGTAGCCCTGTCTTTGAACGATAAAAACTAATCAGTAAACGATAACACCAAGACTGTAGACTGATTTACTATTGTCTCATAGAAGTTCAATTTAATGATATAATTTGCTATTTTCACAAACTTAACTTCAACTTTTGATCTATCTTCTATGAACTCAAATGCATGTTTTTCATTATCACAGCATGTTCTTCATTTTGTAAAGTACATCAATGTGAATACACTAAATATTGTTCCAATATTTTCTATAAATATTAGAGTTTTTCTTATGTAATTATGAACTAAATATTTATGGGATAAAAATATTCATAAAGTTTTCATTTTCTACAGTATATCTACAAACATATCTAACAGTAGACTTTTACGCGTCAGACTGAACACTGACAGCTACAAAGTAGGCTATTGTAAGATAGACGTATCTATCAAACCCATCTCATTAGCTTTAACAATATAAAGATATAGATATATTTGCTCTGTGTATGTGCACTGGTCCCTTGTGTGCTTGAATAAAGAAGTCTTCATTATTACCTATGTATATATGAAAGATCATACACAATAACATGTGTGTTTTAGAAATGTGTTTACCATGACTTGTATTTTTTTAATGAAAAGATGTTTACTATACTTTGTATGTTTTATAAAGTGTGTTTAGCACCAAAAAAACCCCAGTTAATCCAAAGTATT